CACTCTGTGAGGACCTGCTGTCGGCTGGGAGGATGAACGGGATGGCGATGCGGTTTCTCTCAGGTGGGCCATACTTCTTTGAGAGAGACTCAAATCTCTTCCAGATGCCATCCTCTGGTTGTCTGAGAGGACTCAGGGTGATGTTGGGAATCTTCTGATCTCCAGCTTTCTTTATTGAGTTCCAGCAGTCTGGCAGTTTTGTGGGTCGATGTCCTTCATCAGGAGTTTGACAGCTGTGTTTCCTCCCACACGTAAAGACTCTGTGCTGCGGCTTCATGCGTCCTGTAGCGACAGCGTAGACCACATCGGCACTCATGGTGCAGTTCCAGGGAGAGTACAGGAGCACGTCTGTGAGGGTGGACAGAGGCAGGAGGCAGCTGGCCGGGATCAGGGAGTCTCTGATCGCTCCATGCGCCACAAACGTGATGTCCACACTGTTGCTGTGGTTCTTCTTCTCTTCCTCGTCTATGTGCTTCTTCAGGAAGTGAAACATGTCCACCAGTTGGGAGAAAACGTCAGATTCTGAATTTTCTCTCAGCCACTGGAGAACCGTCTCATTCCTGCAGTTTTCTGTTGCTAACTTTATTAATTTCTTCCTTTCATCCGAGCTCCTGTTGATGTTTTCAATAGTGTAGAATTTAACTCTGGCTAACAGGTCGGACAATCTGTAAGAAGAATTGTAAATAGAAGAATCTAAGACACATAATTTCATTAAATTCAAGAAAAATTTCAAATAATGCATCCAGATGTTACTGACTAGTACATCTACTACTCTTAATCTCAGGATGTGAACAGAAAACAGGCTGTATGGAGGTCTTTAGAGGTCCCCATGAAACAGGAATTATTACATTAGCGTTTACAGCAACCATTAGCACTGAGTGACTGCGGTTAGCTACTGATCAATCTGTCCATCAGAAACTCTGTTAATGACCAATGATGACCTCGCTACTGTAACATTATTCCCTGTCGGTCTCAGAGACTGTGTTCGACCCCGGTCCAGCTGCTGAGCCTGGTACTGTCGCCCGCTAACAGCAGATACAGTTAGCAGCAGTTAGCTACTTAGCAGTTAGCTACTTTAGCTAAAGCTATCTGTCCACCAGGAAACTCTGTGAATCTCAGAGAGTTGAAGCTGAGCAGTCGGAGGACATCAGAGGGAAAACCAGGAAAATTTTCTCCATAAAATCTGATCCAGTTTCACCAAAATCACTGAATACAGTTAGAAAGCTG